TTTCAAAAAGAGGAAAAGTAGGTTTACACGGTTCCTGTAGATTTTTTTTCATGTCAAACTTCCAGAGTTTTCCAGGCACATTCCCAAACCGTTCAGTCCCAGTTAGCAGAAATCAAAACGTTCAGGATGAATTTATGACATATATTTGTTCTGTGGCCAGGCTGAAGCATAAATGGAAAAGAAACAGAGACTGAGAGTAAGGAAGGAAAAAAAGAGGGAAGAAAAGTAAAATATAAGGAATCACAGACAGAAGGGAGGAATAATGAAGGAGGAAAGGAAGGAGGAAAGAACAAAGTAAGAAAAGAAAAATTAATAAATGTATGAATGAAGACAAGAATAGGAAGAAAAAAGAAGGAATAAATGATGGAAGGAAGAATGATGTGTGGAAGGGAGGAAGAATTGAAAAAAGGAAGGAAGGATGGAGGGAGGAAAGAAAACAAAAAAGGAAGGAAAGAAAGAAAGACAAAAGGACAGAAGGAAGACAACAAAGAAGGAAGGAATAAAGGAAAAAAGGAGGAAAGAAGAAAGAAAATAACCCTTTCTAGTCCAGTCCTTCCCAGTCTGGACTAGGACGGACCTAGTCCTAATCCTAGTCCAGTCCTTCCCAGTCTGGACTAGGACGGACCTAGTCCTAATCCTAGTCCAGTCCTTCCCAGTCTGGACTAGGACGAACCTAGTCCTAATCCTAGTCCATTCCAGTTCTAAAGCAAAACATTTAGATTGGAAGGGGAAGATCTGTTAATATCGCAGACAGCATCATTAAAGAGATAAACATGTACATCTTTTGATTTTATGGACGGTTTGGCTCTGCTTACTTGTCACAGATGTCTTTGAGCTTCTTCATGTGGGAGTTGTGGCTCTCCTCAGCCAGACTGGTGAGCCGCTCTGTAAGCTGAAGGAAACAGAGATCCTCATCCCTTCACTCTCATCATAGAAAAAAATCATGCTGAGTCATTGTCAACCTGAGGCACAGATGATGTCAGACCTTACCATCTTGATGTGCTCCCTCTGCAGGTACTTCTGGCTGTAGTACTGCTCCTGCCTCAGAGCCAGCAGCAGCTGCTGCTGCTCATCCCTGAGCTGCTGCAGACGCTCGTCTCTCTGACTCTCCGGACATGAAGCCCTGGCAAATGCACAAAGCATTATCACCTTTCCCTAAAACTCACAAAACACTCACCAAAGTTTGTTCATAACTTGACAGAATACTTTTGCAATGTACTACACATCTTAAAATGCCACATTTATGCAGCACCGTACCTTACGTGGCAGTGATTAACTGTGTTGTATTGTTATTCTGGCTTTGTTCACCTGCTCTTGCTGCACTGCCTGGCCGTCTTCTTGTACTTGTTGCTGAAGTCTCGGAGGAGCTCTGAGGTCTTCTTCTGGTGCCTCCTCACCAGCTCCTTCAGCTCCTTGAACTGACGCCGCTGCTCCTTCTGGTAGACCTTGGACTGCTGCAGGGCATCCAAGGTGCATGCTGGGATATCTGTCAGTACGTCATCAGATTCAGTTCTCATCAAAAAACATGAAATTGTAAGAAGATTGAATTTGGGTTAACAGACAATTTTACAATCACAGCAACCAAACAGAGACAAACAAAAACTTCATTCACATATGAACATTACTTGATATAGTTAAGCAGAAACATTTTGTTTTTGCTGTTACCTTAATTACTGTGCTAAAAAGTATATTTCCTTTTCATTTGGAAACCAGATTAAATTAAAAAAACAGTTTTCAAATGATGATTCTATTTTGTGTGGTGAGCAATTTCTGGTAATAAGCTAACTTGTTAACCTGCAGTTTGTTTTGTTTGGCATTTTTGCTAATTTTGAAAATGTTTAGCACACTTTGCTTCTCCTACATTTTCCAGAAAAATTCTAAATGTTAATTTATTTGGCAATTTTGTAAACTTTCATTTGAATAAAGTTCAACATCTGTGTTGAAGTTTTACCATTTTGACTGTTAGGAATTGTTCAACTAGTCAGACGTTTATTTTCATGCTCTTATTTTGTACCAGTAGCTCCATTTCCTCTCCACTCATAATGTGGGTGCAGCAATTGATGTTTATTCTGTACCCACAATGCAGTTCTACAGTAAACAGTTTAAAATCTACTGATGTCCTGATTGTTTTCTGACTAAAACTCTACTGTGGTCAATTAGGGAAAAACAGCAACAGAGTTACCAATACTCAAAAATGTAAAACTAATGTTTTATTTATTTATTTTTTAAAATTTGGTTAAATCAGGGTCTGAAATGCAGATTTTATTTAGATCTTTCAGCCTACTTCAAGGTGTCAGACAGGTTCTATTTAAGTGATTTCTTTCCTATTTGAGTAAACATTCCTCAATTGTGTGAATAACTTCTTTTTTGCCTAATAAATAAAATAATCAATTAAAAACTGCCTTTTGTATTTACTGAGATTACTTTATTAATCTAAGTATTTGTTGATTTTTAATATTTAACAAGCAAAAACAATACAAATCTATGACTTTTTACAGCACTGTAAAGCAGTTGTTGATTCATTGATTTATATATTTTATATATGAAGAAAACCTCACCTATTAAAACACTTAAAACTAGATCTTCAGTCTTTGCTGCTGGTTTGGCTGCTTCTAAAATTCAAAAATGAAAGAGTAAAGTGAAAAGAGCAAGACAATTAAATCTATTGTTACATTTATTAATACTAAAACCATAGTTGTGATGTTTTTTTTTCCTACCAGTTGTAGCTGCTTGCTGATGGGCTGCGGAGGCTTTTGGTGTCGTAGCAACGGGGGTGTGACCCGTTGGACCTGAGGTGGGACTGAGTCCATTTTCCAGCGGAGTCGGTTTCAGGTCGTTCTTCCGCTCTGCTCCCGTGTCCATCTCATCCTGTAAATCAGAAAAAAATGGTTGTCACCAAATTACATAAAAAAAATCTAGGTAAATAGATAAATAAACAACAATAGATGGAATAAGAAGCAGTACCTCGATCTGCGCCTCCTCCTCACTGTCCTCCAGGGTCAGAGCTGCCAGCTGTTTGGCTCTCTGCTCCAGGAGGTTAACATACCGGATCGGGTTGGACAGAGCCTCGATCACATCTGGAGGGAAAATGAGGACACAAACGATCACAGCTGGATGTCAGAGATGATGAAGATGATGAACTAGAACCTCAGAACTTTTACAGCCATAACCCTGGATCATTAATTCTTCTCAAGGCAAAACTTGAACATGTTTTGAGGATTATTTATTTGAATTGTAGTTATCACGAGTCTGTGCAAACCTTTTCATTATCTTTAAAACATTTTGAAAAAACAAAAGCAACCCAAAAATAATCTGAGATTTTACAGCATGTGTATAGTCCTGAGATCTGGAATGTTCTAAGAAACCTTCTTCCAGCAGAATGAATAAGTACACTGACAATTATGGGTTGCCATCTGTAAAGTTACACAGTCAAAAGTTAACAGCAATAATATGGGTTACTTAGCCTGTCATAAAAGATAAAGTGAAGATTCATTTTTCAAAGTCATATATTCATTCATTACAAAATGTCACAGTTTCCAACTAATTATTTAATTAGCAACTGTGTAACTTTACAAGCTGCACGCCATATGCAATCAAATAATCCTTCTATTAAAAAAATGTCCAGCAGGTGGCTCTAGCGAGCTGTGAAGCCCACAAGTTCCTAGGAAACTACAACAAATCTGTTTAGCTGGCATTACGATGTGATGTTCCAAAAATGGCAGTATGACTGATGATTTATGAAAAAAAAAATTACTGGAGAGGTTTGTGCAAAAATGAATGTTTCCAAATTAGTCTATGAAGAGAAGACCTTGTTGGAGCAATAAGCTCTATACAGCTAAAGGCTATGCAATCCTATTAGCAGTTGATCACACATAGAATCATTTGTTTGTGATAAACAAGCAGTGACACAAAGTTTTTTTTTCATCTATTGTTAGCAATGATTGCATCCATGGGAAAGTCTGTAATCATCAATGCTTCACATAAAAATGGCCTAAAGTAAAATAAATAAATAAATAAATAAATAAATAAAACAAACTGGTGCTAAGAATGTTCCATCTTATTGTGCGGTGAATTCAGAATTCATTAAGTCCAAGGATATCCAGCAAGCTCCAGGACTAGCGTAGCGTTAGCCCATCACAGGGATCAGAGCATGTCTCACAGATGAGAATGGTGAACTTTTGAACCTGCTGCCAGGATTTCTTCCACATCCTAACCAGTCAAAGAACTCTCTCACTAAGCAGGTGGATAAAAAGAATCAATAACATTTGGATCGACTTAAAGTTCCAATAATAAAGGATCACCATAAGTCAGGACTAGAGAGTCAGACAGGATTAAAGAAGTTAATTAATACATTTTACTTGCAATACATTTCCAAAGATTACATTTCTGAGGAGTTTTTACCTGCAAATGTATCTGGGACATAGTCTTTGACTTCAATGTAGACAAACACAGCAGGCAAAATCAGAGACTGGTTTTTCTCATTCCTCAAGCCGATGTAGCGATAGCCTGCAGAGGAAACATGGACCAAATTATTCACCACATTGTTGACCCACTTATACGTCTCAGCTCATCAAGCTAACTTTGACATCAAAGATAACCTAAAATGCTGTTTTCTAATGGCGATTTCATTATTAAGCGAAAAAAGTTATCCAAACAAACCAGGGCCATTGGGAAAAAATTATTTGCTTTAACCATCCACAATTTTTTGAAAGGTCATTTGAATTTCTCTAGCACTCCCAGACCAGTAGAGTCACGAAATCACTTAAGTAGGATATGTCTGACAGAAGTACAGTGGACACTGGCATATATTCACGGTTCAGGATTCGCTGATATTTCTGTGGAATGTGACAACTAAAACCCACATATTTGTGGATTTTTTCGTAGAGCATATATAAAATGCATTAAAGCAAATGCAGCTTGGGAAGCTAAAATACACAATTGTAAAACAGCCAATCCAGAAGCACTATTTATTTTCCTTGGTGCTAATTGGGTGTAGCCCAAATAGAGAAAACAATGGATGTTAGCTTGTGCTGAAGTGCTAAGATGGTTTTCCATATTACATGAAGGTATATTTGTTGTTTGAACTATTAAAATAGACAGTTAATGCGATTTTAGAGGAGGTCAAAAGTATTTAGTATTAGTATTAAGCTACTGGTGGGAGACTGTGGTTGACGAAAAAGAACACAATGGTCCATCTCATATTTACCAAAAGTGGATCATTTTGGAAGGTATTCAGCGTGTCACACAGAGCGTGTCAGAAAAAGATGATCTTCATTCCAACAGTCAAGGATTGTAGTTTGCAGGTCTAGTGCTGCTTTGCTGCTTACAATGATTGACAAAACCCTGAAATCTGCTCTCTAGAAAAAAACCTGATGAAGAATACTCATCCATCAGTTCTTTAATTTAAGCTAAAGCACACTTGTGTTATGCAGGAGAACAATAATCCAAAGCACACCTCTCTCTGAATAACTCAAAAACAGATAATAAAAAACAATAAACGGTTTTATTTATCTTGTCTTTGTGTGATCATGTAATTTGTTTAATGATCTGAAAAATGTGTACAAAAAGGGAGAGTGGCCCAACTTCACTCAGGTACATTCAGAATATTAGGAAAGAAAAATAGGTTACATAACATAAAACCTGGCAGGGTAATATATTTGCTGCTGCATCTGCTAAGACCGAGTCAAGCAACACTTATTTAATGAAAGCAGCATAGTTTCTCTAAAGCCTCAATGTGATTCTGAACAGAGTGAGAGCCAAGATGATTATTTTAGCAAGACTGTCAGTGTCTGAATAATATGCCAAGACTATCTGTGAGTTTACAGACAGCAAAAGGAAAAAAAAAGTGTTGAAATGAACAATGCTGCAGCTCAGAGCTATTATCAGTTGTTTCCTTTTGTATTTTTTGATGCCATAACCAGCATTAGTAGATGAGTTTAGATCTGAATCAGATTAACTGTGACTATACAGACCTGGTCTGATGGCAGACACTGGAATAATCCGATGGCCGATGAACTTTCCTCCTTCCTCAAACGCAGCAATTCTCAGAGAGGCCAGAGTCGGAAGTATAACCTGCACAAAAGTAGGAGTCATCTGTCTGAAAGCGGCATTTGATTCAACTAGGCCGTTTGTTCCTCTAGGCGTCCCTCACCTTCTTGAAGATGATGGGCTCTTCGTCCCACACTGGATTGACAGCGTTGTTGTTCTGGGAGGTTTTAGTCTTCAGAGCTTTCCTCCTAGTGTCTGCGGGGAGTCCGAACATCTCCACCTCCACATAAACACCCACCCTCCGTTCAGTCAGAAACTGGCCTGAGATGACCTGCGATATGCAATAGTGGTTTTAAGAGCAGTTTTAAATGGATGTGTGCTTTTATGTATTTAACCTTTATTTCACCAGGAAAATTCCATTGAGATTAAAAATGTCTTTTGCAAGAGAATCCTGGCCAAGACTGGAGATATAGAGATATCTCTATCCACATAGAGACTGCAGAACATCCACAGCAAAAACCAGAAAAGTTAACACCATCATAAACTAACAAATTAAGACTCCTCATCTACAGACAAATAATTCCTCCTCATAATCAGATAGAACAGCCTACCCTCATGTTATTATTTTATTCTGGAATGAAAGGCAACGCCTCCCGTGACGGCTGCAGACTCAGGCACCTCTCTACCCACGTCTGCTGCTGTTCTTTTTTTTTTTTTTTTTTGGTCCTTTGGTGTTCTTTAGATGGGCTGTACTGAAACAAATTTTGTTGTGGTTTTGCACAATGAAAATAAAGGCTGACTCTGATTCTAAGAACATATTTAGGGACAACAGCACCTTTAAGTGAACATGCTGGATGTCATCATTATGAGCTGTTACAGTATGAGAAGGAGTTTATGTACCTTCACAGAGAGAGTATTAGCTACAATGCCGTCCACTGTGTTTTCTGTGAAAGGGTCAAAGTGTTTGTCATGACGCCTCATGAACTCTGGTTTCAGTCGGTAGCCACTGCGGCCATTGTACTCAAACATGAAGAGGTTCAGCTGCATGGACAGATCTGGAACATAAAACTCATTTTTGTTAGCAATATCACAAGATTTCAAGCTACTCTTCCTTATTTCAGTAGGAGTTACTCTTGGACTAAAATGTCTTTTAAATAAACCCCTTTAGTGCAGTCTGGGTAATGCTGTGCAGGTTATTTATTGGTAATAAAATATAGCAATTCACAGAAAACTGTGGACTGAGACCTGAGCTACACTTGTCTGCTAGTCTCAAACAGCTGCCACTGGTTTATTTAAATATTCTTGATCTACACCATGTAAGTCATGGTTCTCTGACTGTTGTACGGTTACTGTTAGTATTTCTTCTGTTAAAACTAAGGAGAGATTTTGGCACTATAATTTGCAGGGTGAAAACACACAAATTAACTTTGATTTAAACCTGTTGAGAGAGAAGTACATAAAAAAGAGATACTCTCTATTATAAATTAAAGGTGATGGCAGGAACTCAGGAACATGTGCTAGAAGCTACCAATCTACATATGCTACTGATGTATTTACCACTGAAGACTGAATTTGGACCTAACCTGGCTCAAGGTTGGTTTAATCTAGTCTGATCTGACTTCATTTCTTCTAGTAAGCTTTGAGTTCAAGCAAAACAGTACTTATACAGTCAGTCACCTGCATTTAAATGATAACATACATAAATTCAGAATAAAAGAGGGCCAATGACTAATCCCTGGCATAAAGTACAATTCAACTGTGGTCCTAAGGATGTTACGAACAAAATCAATGCTAAAGATTTTGTTTGGGACACAATTAGCAAAATAAATTTAAAGTAGAATCCATAATTCCGACCCAAGATGATAAAAGAAGCACAATGTTGCTGTGATCAATGGTGGCACTCAAGTCTAAAGGGGATTAAAATTTAAATGCCTTCTTGTTCTAACCTAGCGGTTCTCAACGTGGGCGGTACCGCCC